TAACGGATGACCCAACAGTAGAGATGGTATTTGTTAATCAAATCGCATTATACTTCTCAAAAACTGACTATCATTTCGTATTTAAAAGAAAAACGTTTCAATCAATTCAGCTTCTGCAATGGCAATAAACAAAGCGCAAGAACAGACTTTTCACTTAATTGATGTAAGGGCGCTTAGTAAATCAGCAAGAGTTTCTACCTAACCGACATATGGGATTGTCCACTGAGAGCGGGCCACCTTGCGCTTATAAGACTTTTTTTGCCTTAACACGCTGTGTTCAGCTCACTCATAATGGCTGGGAGATAACTAAAAAAAATTGTTAAAAAATACAAATCGACAGATTTTGATCTACTCTTTTTAGTAGTGCTATTTATTTTCCCTCAAAAACTTTTTTCCGTGGGAAAAAATGAGTCAAAAGTTCAGGACATTTCTCTGAAATTCACCATGGTTTAAAAAATAAAATTTGCAGGAATCGAAAGAGCAGTGCTGAAACATTAACTCCACAAATTTTTAGAGTCGGATAGCAAGAAATTCGTGAATTATAAGCAAATAAAGACGTTGGAATGAGCCAGTTGCATGGCGGCAATATACAACAAACTCGTTAGTAATAGTATGTCGCCGCGTGGCAGCGTGGTGCATGGGACAATTGCATGCCTCGCTGCCATGCCACTTGCTCATGCCATCGTCTTTATTTGCTTGTAATTCACGCATTTTTTACTCTCCCACTCTAAACATTTGTGAAGTTAATGTTTTAGCATTGCTCTTTTGATTTCTGCAAATTTTATTTTTTTAAATCATGGCGAATTTCATAGAAACGTCCTGAACTTGACTTATTTTTCTCCACGAAAAAAAGGTTTTGAGAAAAAACAAATAGCTCTAGAGGAAAGAGCAGATCAAAATCTATCGATTTATATTTTTTAGTCATTTTTTTAGCTGTCTCCCAGCCATTATGAGCGAGTTGAACACAGCGTATTTGGGCGAAAAAATTCCTCGCGCGCTAGGTGGCCAGCTCTCAGTGGACAAGCCCATATTTACCTCGATACATTTTTATTACTCAATAACTTCTTAGCTAATTTTACGCAAAGTGATGAGAAAAGGCAAAAATCTAATACTTTGAGATGTATTATTGAAGCCTAAATTTATCAGAAGCCGTTGGGAACTGAAGCTGAAAAGTTGCAGCGCGTGATTGTTAAAGTTACATCTCACCCTATTTGAAGTAAATACGTATTAAAATATGTCCTAAATATGACATCTGTAAAGACTATCTTTTATTATATCACGTAGCCAATAACAGCTGCAAAACGCAAGAAATGGCTCAAATCAATCAAGATACGTATATCTCATTACACACGCCTTACATTTTGATTTTGATCGTATATAGTTACGCAAGATGTACAAGCTAAATAGAATTTCATATACAGTTGTATCATTTGATCCAGCCCTGAAAAAAACATTTTATTTTTAGAAATTAGCAGGCCGTAATAAATACTGCTTCCTTCTACAGCAGATTTTCAATTCAAAACTTTATCGGTTGGTCTATATTCAAAGTCACACAGTAACGCTAAACAATAAACAGAGATTACAATCATTTTCACATACATAAGTATATTGAGTTTGATTTGCCCCATTCTTTTAAACTTTCTGGAAACACTTTCATATCCCAGAAGTCAATTGATACCTATATTTGATCATTAGATAATCGAGATATACGTAGAAGTTGAAAAACGTGCTACAGGCCGATTAGAGATTCTAGGAGGGACATTCAAAGGGTAAGGCTATAAACTTTTATCTAACCTTACTAAGTCAAAAATTTATAGCTGTAATTGCACCTATAAATTGTAGTTATGATTATAATTATAATTACCTATGGAACAGCTATAATTACCTGCAAAATATAGCTACAAATGTAGCTATAAATTGCAGCTATACATTTTATTTAAATTTAAAGTGAAATTTGGTGTAAAATGAAATTTTTTTAAATAATAACAATCAGAACAAGTGCGATAACAAGTACCAGTATCAATCATCGATGTGATAACACCAAAACTGGGAGCCTGAAGAATTTTTGAATAAGTAGAGAAAAAAACCAGAAATCATAACTGAAATTTTTTTTCAAACTTGTTCAAAAATACTTTAGGTTCTCAGTTTTAATGTTATCATACGGATGATAACGTCAATATTGACACATATACTTTTAAAAAAATCAGATTTTAAACCAACTTTTATTTAAAATCCAAGCAAAATTTACAGCTGTGCTCTATAGCTATATTTCACACAGGTAATAATTATAGCTGTTTTACAGGCTATTGTAGCTATTATGGATCCAAAAGGTCACATGACTCTCGTGATATACATAGTCGCTTGGGGGAAAAATAACACAGGCCTTGTAGGTGCAATTATATTTTTATTTTTTTACACGTTCAACGATTGTAATACGATAAAAGCCATTCAATAACACATTTTTGAGGAGCTGACAATACCTTAGCTATTTTTTACAAACTCAATTAGTCTTTTGCAGCTTAAAACTCTCCTTTGAAAGTGCGAAAACGCACATTTAACCTTAACAAAATCCCGCTTGTTTTCCTATATATAATCGGGAACGGGAAAACTTTGTACATGTTAAATATGCGTTTTTGCGCTTTCAAAGGAAAGTTTTAAGCTGCAAAAGACTAATTGAATTGGGAAAAAATAGTTGAGGTATTGTCATCTCCTCAAAAATATGTTATTGAAAAGCTTTCATCGTATTACCATCGTTAAACGTGTAAAAAAAATAAAAATATAGTTGCCCCCACAAGGCCTGTGTTATTTTTCCCCCAAGTGACTATACTTATCGCGAGAGTCACGTGACCTTTTGGAATCACAATAGTTTATGGGTGTTATTATAGCTATAAATTATTGACTGAGATAACCTTACGAAGCTTACAGTTTATAATTACTTTTCCAAACAGAAAGTCGTAGAGTGGCTATCGGTAGGCCCTCTGTAATAGGGCAACACTTAAATACTTCTGTTCGGTTAAGGCTCGGACACAAGGAACCGCGTAAAGCGTAAAGCGTATCGCGTAAAATTATAGGATCAGGGAAAGTTAGGTAAAGTACGCTTTACGCGAAAAAATTCGTCATCGCGCACATGGGAGTAAAAAATACGCGCGTAAGAGTTTTTAAACCAATCACAGCGAATATTTCGTTGGCTTTGCACATGCTGTCTCGCTCGCACTCATGGCAAAAATAAAGTTACGCCCGTATTTTCGTACCCATGTGCGCGATGACAAATGTTTTCGAGTAAAGCGTAAATAAAGTATGCAACCTGTAAATACAGTCAGCAGCTAATGTCAACAACAACAATTACAGTATCAATTGTATAATTAATCGAATTTCTGACATGAATGAAACATAAATCGTAAGAACTTTGGGCAAATTGTGGAAAGTCTGTACGACCTATGCAATGACCCAATATCGCAAAGAAAAAGTGAGAAGTGTAATGATTAAGCTGTATGAAATGCATTAATGGCTCTCAAATAAAAAAAAAAAAGAAGCATATGCTTGAAAATTTTTTTTTTGACATGTACAGGTTAGAATTCACTTTCGTTGAGAACTTCGAAAGCTTTTTTGTTGACAAGACAGCAGATTGGTTAACGCCCCTCTACTTCAAACTTACGCGATACGTGAGGCTTTTACGCCTTTTCTATATGTGACCACAAAGTGGCGTATACCTAACCTTCCTTACTCTTACGCGATACGCGATACGCTTTACGCTTTACGCGGTTCCATGTGCCCGAGCCCTTAGAGTTTCACATATTTTTTTTAAACCTTTGCAATATATTGATAAACACTGAAATGCAGAAATCGACTCCTGATGCCGATGTTGCCAAGAAGTTAAAAAAAAAATTGATAAACACTTACACCAACACAATTATCTGGGAGCATTTTGTTAATTTTGAAGTCGAAACCAATTTTTTCCTCTTCAAGCTTTGCCCGGCGTGAAGATCGTATACTTTCTGTTATTTTGGTAGTGCAAAAAATGATAACGTTCTACTTTGAAACTTTTTTTGTTAAGGAGAGTTTAACAATATTTATATTTATCTATAAATTACGGATTATTATACTTAATAATCATGTGCTATTTCACTACTTATTGTAATTTTGTCAAAATCAGACTACATTTAATAAAAATGTTCAAGTAGAAAATTTCGTTAGATACGTTGATTTGTGGCGTCTCACATCTCTCGTGCTTCAGGCTCTACTCGCCAGGTGGCCAAGCCCCTAATAGTTCGCTCCCGTCAAGCGGTGAAATTCCCACACGATTACTATATAAGCAAGATCGAGACAATCTAAGCCCACACCTCTCCTATGTCTAAGGCAGGGAGCACGTCATCAGCCTTACTGATGAGTCCTGGCGTGCTCTCAGGACGAAACACCTTTTTCTCTCTCAAGTAGGCGATAAAAATCGCTACAGATTTACCATAAGAACTTAATACAAAGTTGACAAAATTTTTTTATCAGGCCAACATCGTTTACAAGACAATTGGAAAATCAACTTTCAACACTATTTTAACGATGTTCAAAAGAACTTTGAAATTTTCTACTATTTGTTTTGTAATCTACGAGTTTTATTACATGTATAGAATCAAAAATATCGGGAATCAATTTGCATGGATAAAAACTACTGCAAATAAAAAAAATAATTGGAATTATTGGTTGTTAAAGTTTCAATAACCAGTGGGATTGGATTCAAGTAAACAATGTTACGTTTGTTTTCTGCTTGTCAACGCTTTAGCAGCTAATGTAGCGCCTTCAAACGGGATTTGGTCATTCGGATATTCCGGATTATTTCCAGTGTAGGAAGCTCAGTTTTCAAGCATTCACTTTACTTGTTGCTAACAATATTTTGTATGCGCAATATCTTTGACACATTAGATGTATTTGAGGCTATAGCTCAGAGCTTGGAGGTGCTCAGACATCTCAATATAGATATAGATTTTTTAATGTAGAACTATTTAGTCTTACAGGCCCTTGAGGTCCTCTGAGCTTCTCCAAGCTAAAGCTTCAAACAAATCTATTAAGTACGTTCTGATAGTTTGAATGAAAAAATATGTAAATACCTTATTTTTATAACATAATAAAGGAAGGTACTGCAATACTTTGGATTTCATTAGAATTGTAGCTATATCAGGTATACTGGTAAAAGTATTTTCAATAATAAGGCACCAAATTCTTTGTGAAAAATTAACTTTTGCAGCTATATCAATAGCAACAGCTCCTCCTAAAATTTCAATTTGTATAAAAATAAATAATGGCATTCATCGTTGGTTAAAACCTTAAAACAAGTTATTTTAGTATTACATAAAAATTAAATAGTGATGAGAGTTAAAACTGATCTTTATTTTTTAGTTTGAGTGTTCTGGTTCAACTATTGTGAAATCTGATTTGCATCTTATCATAGTGAACACAGAACTTCTTTAAAAAATAATGAAGCACTGGTTTTTAAATTTCAGTAACTTGAAAAACTACCATTAAATTTTTTTTATTATACAAATAGTTATTTTCGTTGGTACATTTTGGAACCAAGTTGCATAGTCGAAACAGAAACTTGACACTCAAACTTAGAATATTCATCATAGAAGACAGCCTCAAGTTGGCATTGCTGATAGGCATGGGGGCAGGTTCAATAATTTCCACTTAAGCATGAACTTAAAATGCTTTGACACGCCTCTACTTAAGAGCATACATATTATTACACCTAGGCATAAGGCTTGAGTAAGCAGAGCACTATGACTTTAATGCCTATATGAAAAATATTTAACCTGGCGCTATGCCTACCATCCCAATTCTCCACTACTTGGAGTCTTTATTATAAGGCAGTGCTAAAAATAGCTAAACAATGTATATATTTTAATGCAAGTGATTCTAAAAAAGACGATACACTAATTACTGAATTCACCTACTGTATTTGTAATTAAGTGCTAATAAAATGCAAATAATAGAGATTTGAAAGAAAGTTGACTAGTAAGACAATGGAAAGATCAAATATAAACACAAAAGTCAAAATTCTATCTATTAAAAGTCAATGAGAAACTCCATTAAAATACTATTACCTAAGGATCGTCCAAAAACGATGATTTCATTAGTATTAATATCATTACGAGAATACAAGTACTCCAATCCTGCTTGTGCATCCATGTACAAGCCTTCTTCTGAAGGAAAGCCCTGAGAAAGGCCATATCCTCTATATTCTATCATCAGTATATTACAACGTACATTATCATAGATGCCTTTGACGTTATCCAGCCTGCCAATAATAAATACATTAATACAAATACATAGAAATCAAGGTTTCTACAAATCTGGCAAATTTAAAATTCCCAGATTTCCAGAGGTATAAATATAAAGAATTCAGGGGTATTTTATTCAACCATACAAATTTCTTTAGTGAATAATAATTCAAGAAATGTGACTTAGTGTTATTTATATAAAATAATAGTATCAATAAATGAAGTAAGAAACAGAGGGTAAAATTTTTAATTAGAAAGAAATCGATAAAACTTGAAATGATGTGACTGATGAATCATGCTAACAAGTTAATCTAATGTTTTTAGAATTAATACATAATCCACAGTATAAATACAATAGCATGTTTTTTATGTCTACTTGTATCTGGTTTATTTTTATAAAAGGACTCAAAACTTTTCTAGATTTCTCCCACTTTCTATGAAGTGAAATAAAATCCACAAAAATTTACGAATTTCTCAGTTTTTTAAGTTCTGTAAGAACCCTGGAACAGTGGGAGTCAGTACAAATGTAAAAATTTAATACAAGAGTATTTAAATCATTTTACAGTCAAGTGGCAAACCTGTGTCCTATATTTCCAGAGTTACCATGAAAAAAGAGTAATGTTGGACACTTCTTGAATAGATGGTCAGGCTGTGAAATGAAGTACATGTGAAGAAAAGTTTCATCAATGGACTTAGTATAAATGTTCTCAAATGGTAGATTGTACATTGAAGGCAGAGGTACAAAAATCCGCGAATTGCTAGGTATTTGTGGATAGTATAAAAACGAGTCCTCCGTGAAGTAGAGTACAACTGCAAAAAAATGCTTGACATCAGTGATAGACATATTGAACATAAGCAGGATGTGAGATTTGAGCGTAACTTTTTTCAGCTTTGAGTCTATGTTAAAAATCTCATAGGTGATGAATAGGAAATAAGTTACACACTTATACCAGCCAAGATGACACACCTACACTGAAGCAGCAAATCAGGAGGAAAGCAACCACGGTTCCATAGAGCCAGTAGAGCAGATAGCACACAAAGAAATAAACAACAAGCGATACCCAAAACTCAAAACTGACTCTCCAAACGAGACGAAAAGCTGTCTTAATGCGGCTTAACCTCAGTCTGATGGCCATGTCAGTTGGCTGCCGTCGAGTAATCAAATTAGGCAATACCTATTAGAAATGAATCACCCGGTATATACAGCACTTATAAAAAAATGTTGTAAAACACGTCATAGGCCCACTCACCAACTGGTAAGTTGGTTGTGTCCTGATGAGAATAAATACACCAAGTACAGATGCTGATGTAGCCTGTTGACCACTTCTCTAATGTTAGAACTGCAACCATCAGCATTTGGCTTTGTGATGTTACAGTACGTATTTCAATAGGATGCAGAGTACACATCAGACAGAGATTTGAATGTGACTTCTTTACACTTTTTCGATATAAGAACATAGAGATAAAATTTATATTATAATATTT